GGACATGGTCAGAGCAGGACTAACGGGAGGAATATCTATTTGCTTTTTGTCCTAGTGAATCGCGCACGGCATAGTTTGGCAAGGCGGATGAAGCGCTGAATGCTCTCGACCTCAAGCCGGTGATACAACTCAGGATGATGCCCAAAGCAGAGTAACAAGCGCGGCAAGGCCTGAGCACATGCTGAACGTACTTGTGTGAGTGGCACACGATTTGCACAGTGCTGCTGCCGATTCAGAAGGGAAGCCAGCAGCGGCTGTAAGGCGCTCAGTGGCTTACTCATTGTAGCACCGGGGTGCCTGCGCAAAAATAATAGGCCAAGCAACACCGGTAATCGAAACAAAGCATGGCAGCTCAGATCACCATAAGACACACAAACCACTAGACTACCAGATACACAGGGCATAAGTACCACAATTGTATGGAAGTGGCTTGATGCATTGATCCTTACGCTGCTGGTCAGTGCGGTCAGCACTGACACACCAGTTTTTGGCACAAACTTTGCCGTGATATGTCAGAATATATGCTGCAATATCGGCTTTAATGATAGGAGTAGTCAGGGATCATTACGGACGGCGCAGAAGGTAGTCTTCGGGCGCATTGGTAGCGTCGGGACCGTGTGGGTAGCGTTGGGACCGTGGGGGTAGCGTCGGGACCGTGGGGGTAGCGTCGGGACCGTGGGGGTAGCGTCGGGACCGTGGGGGTAGCGTCGGGACCGTGGGGGTAGCGTCGGGACCGTGGGAGCCGCTGAAACGGAATAAGACTGTCCGCGGATTGTCCGCGTACAGTCCGTTTACCGAGATCTGGCATTTTCCCTCACCTGTCCGGACACTGTCCGCGGTCTGTCCAAGTACTGTCCGCGTACTGTCCGTTCCCAGTAACTTAGACGTCCTCCAGTAGCGACATAGGCTGACTCGAGGAACCGTCGCGCCCTCGGTCAGGTGTTACCCTATAAGGTATTGTTTGGCTGGGACAAACAGAGACGCGCGAAACGCAGTTTCCGGACTTTTATGCAAAGCACTGTATATACTCGAAGTAATAACACACTAACTAGAAATAGAAGTAAAGGACTTGAAAGAGAATCAAACAACCATATAAGTACATACACGTTAAGAAAGGAATATCAATGAGAAACGTATATCGTACATGGCGAGCTCCTACAGTCTGGCTTGCCATGGGAATTTCTCCAGGTATACTTAGTACTTGCCGAGTACAGGATAGCAATGGGGAATAGATTGGTAGCATACGTCCCCTGGACTCGACGCTGAACCTGGCCTATTATATGAAGGTACGCAGGTCCTGCAGTCCATCGCATCACGTAGCTATCGTCATGATAGTTGGCCGCTCATTGTTAGCATTATCAAGCAACAGTTCCCGTAGGTCGACGCCACCAAAGTCGCATCCCATCTTGAGCTGATGAGAACTGTCTCAGAAGCGTACTGGGGGTGATGATGAGACGATGCGCACTATAGATATCTTCTCCATGAGAAAACAGTTTCCTCTAGTCACAAGCCCGTCTCTGAATGTCCCGGCCGTGAGCTGATGTTGGGAATCCGCATCGATGCACGAGACACATTCAGATGGTGAGTATTACAACTGTCACAGTCTCCCAGTGGTACTCCCCATTCAGTTATGATCTCGCGCCTTGGGAGGAGCCCGATCAAGCACACGCTGGTGATGGAAGCGACCGCTGCGAGATGGACATTTGACACGGCTGTTATTAGCTAAATGTTCGTGTCTCCACCGGGCTACGGAATCCCCTCTTGCTCTGCTGTCCTTCTCTCGATGTCGTCGACAGCGCCAGATGACCCTCTTCTGTATGTAGGGGTCCGGAGGTCTCGTCATCTGGTTTACAGTGTGTTTTCTATGGTTATCTATGAGTACTTTATCACATTGGATCTGGAGGTAAGTCATGCGTGACTTCGTCGGGCCCGTTGTTTACATGGTAGCTTTTCTTTGCAGGTGGCTTACTTCTGGAGGTGTACAAATCCTGCGAAGCTCTCGCGATTACTCTTCTTTTGGGTACGTCTATCGTGTCACGGGTGGATCGGCCACGGGCTCAGCGTCTCTTCCCAAACTAGAATCGATATATCAACCTCATAACGTGCAGGTATGTCTCGTGGCAGAGTACCAGGGCATTAACTGAGATTCCTGGCCTTAGTCTCAGCGTTTATAGTGAGCTCGCAGTTTGTATCAGCCATCCATCCCGTGCTGACAACGGTGGATTAGGTACATGGTCCTCCAATGACACAAGATGGGTGAGTCACAAAATCTAGTTCGTCATGTACGCATGTTCAAACCCAGTAGATGTGAGGGAAATACGCGCGATGCTGCGCAGTCCACCTTGCTTAACTATTCCCAGATTGATCCTAGTCACGACGTTAACCACCTTAGGCCTGGTTATCATTCAAGGTCAGAGACACCATCCATCAATAGACTATACATACAATCGACCCTATTCCAGTGATGCACGCCCTGAGACTATGGTACCTCTTCTCGCACTCGACAGCGGTCCGACTCTTGCTCGTCTTTCTCACCATCGGCTACCAGGTCACGCACTGGACCGTCGTAATTCAGTATCTGGCAAATAACGGCCCCCTCAGCGGTCAATTGTGGCTCCCCCCCCTCGTTATCCATACTATCCTTTATCTGCTAACCATCGCACGGGTGTTCTTCCCGCGACCGCTTCCTGGAGGGGGGAGGCACCTCATGAACCGATTACTGTGCGAGTGAGTATGCTGCGCACTTCCTACGAGCATTCTTCGAGGCTGATACATTGAAAGGGGCACGTTGCTCGCTTCCGCGGCGTTTGGTGAATGGTTCCGCGATATTTGTTACCTTTCTGTCGGCCTGACACCTCTTTCAAGGTACAAGCCTGTTTGACACGATTGGCGCCCTACAACGTGACCAACGGGTACGTTTCTTGCCTTTTTCTTGTATGCCTGTTTGTGGATCGGGTCCTACAGGTGAGCCTCCCCGCAAAACAGAGCGAGTGCGTATCTGTATCTTGGTCCCTCCTGCACACGGCTTACCGCATTCAAACGGACCACAGAATAATGCTGGCAGTGCTTTCGGTTACCATGAGCCGATTGATGTTCAACATTCGCAGGCTCTCCACCTCCTTAGGGACAGAACCCGAACTGCTCTTGAGTGATATGGAAATGAGCCGAGTGCAGATGCGGTGTACCAAGGGCACTCGCGAGGGTGAACTGCTGGTCGAAGTGGAGAACGTCGGTCCCGACGAGTATGAGTTGTCTCGCACGAATTCGCCTGGTGAGATCGTGGAGGAGCTGAGGGCTGTAACATCCGCCGATGTTGTACAGGAGGCAGAGACGAGCGGTTCATTCAAAATGATCAAGGAGTCGGAGCTCGGCTACGCTGACGCTATAGCTACTGAGCGACGGCCACGAACTCGCGGCATCTCTTTATCTGGTAGTACCCTTTCTTGACAAAGAGGTTTCCTCAAGGCGCCGCGGAAAACTGTATCCTTGGAGCATGCGAAGCGATTCAATATCAAAGTTAGAAGGACATCAGTAGAGGCGTTTTTGTCGATAAGGATGAAAGATGAGTCGTAAGCGCCACTGCGATAGACGTAGGAGGTGGCAGCCAGTGGCCACATTGGGTTGGTGTGATCAAACCTATTTTGGAACCTGATCGAGTCGCAAGATGTGGCAACTCCATCGCGCTTTCGACGATCATGGTCAACTCGCGTCTTTGCACTCGGTGCAAGGAGCCGTGTCATGGCCCTCGCGCATTTCTACTAACATGCTGTTCCTGTAGACGGCACTATCATCACAGTGAGTCAGAAAAGTAACAGTGTATATCGCCCGTCAGACGCGTTTACGTCCAAGGATGTCACCAGCCAGCGGTCGCGGATGAAGAGTTGATTCAACGGATCTACGCGACGAACAGGAACGATGTCGATAACGGGCTTGACGCATGGATGTGTAGACGATGTAAGAAGAAGAGTGGGGCCAATGGTCTAGCGGCGACTTCAAGTGGCCAGGAGATGAGACCCAAGACAATTGAGATTCAGGATGAGAAGATTGTCTCTGCCCAAACCTCACATTCTCCAGGGAAGGTGTGACTCTCAAGCCAAGCTGTGCGTAATGTGCATCCCGTTTACTGAGCATGGCAGACCAAGGCCGAAGTCAATAAAGCGAACTTCGAAACAATTGAAATTCTGTCCGATGACGAGACCCGAATTGTGCCTTCACGCCTTTCGCAGAATAGGGCAAGTTGTCTGATATGCCTGCTCTATTATACGTGTGCTCAATCCATACCCAGTCACCTTCAGTTCTTGCGTCCTCATCCTCGTCCCAGCGTCCTATTTCACCTGCCTCACGTCCCATCCTCTCCCCTTCCACTTCGAGTAGCCATAAACGTCCTGCAGAGGCATCCACACGCCATTCAGCCGACACTTCGAAACGACTGCGCACGACTTCTGAGGGTAATGCAAACTACACGGAATCATCTCTCGCAATACTGAAGCCTCTGGATGGCAACGATCATGGCGTCGCTTCCAGCACAGATGTGCGTCCAGAGATAATCATGCCTACAACAAGTCTACAGAGCCGCGATACCTCGGTTGGTAACACCATGCTACCTGGTACCCCTGAAACGGAACAGAAATCAGAATCCGGAGCCTGTCCTAAATTATTGTCCTCCCCGTCATCGGCAAGACGGGTTCCGCCACTTCCTGCGAAAACGGCGCGTCCTGGAGTTCATCCTCCATCCCGTTCCCAGCGGACACCCTTGTTCCTCCCCTCTGCCTCCCCAACCCCTGGTCTTTCACAGTTTGCCACCAAAACTCGTAATGGAGCATCTCGTACCCCGCTCTTCCTCCCCTCGATGTCCACTGCCCCGGGCCAAGGTGGCCACCCGCGGGGACCAAGCACGTCCAGTCTGCGTGCTTCCTTCACTCCGACAGCACAGGAAGAGTACGCGCAGGTACAACCGTCCTACGAGAGGTCGCGGGAGCCGCTGGATCTCAACACAGTGTTCACTCGAATGAATCTTGAGAAGACAGCATTCGGGGAAGGGAAGAGTGAGCGAGCGTTGCTGGATAGGATCGAGCGGTTACAAAGGCGGGAGCCTTCCGCGGGTACAACCGATCCAGAGCCGTCGTCTGGAAGAATGGAATGGAACAGAATGTACGTGAGGGATGATATGGATGAGCTCTACGCCAGCGAGAGCGAGGCGGAACGCGGAGTACCCTCGGCTGATCAGGTACGCTTGTTTAGAATATCAAGTTCGGAGCTGGTGACCCATGTGCAACATAACCATTATTTAGAGGAAGCTCGCAACGCAGGAGCCGCAACCAGAACCGGCAGGGATCGCTCTCTCACCTGCAACGGCTGCCTCGTTATCTTCTGTCTCGGCGCTGGTCCTAGATACCCCGGAACTGGAACTGAAACCTTTGCCCGTCCTGTATCCACATCTAGAGCGCTTCAGCAAAGCGCCCATCTTACCCGGTTCGAGGGATCCGAAGAGAAGCTCGGAGTATCGTGGCAGAGCGAGGAAGGCACCAGCGGAGAAGACGAAGAAGCGCAAGCGGGGGTTAGGGTTCTGTGTGATTGGAGGGGTAGGTGTGTGACAGGGCGGAGGACTTAGTGGCGTATGCACCCCCTCCGGTATCTTGGTTGCTCTTGTACTATGAAGTATTGCGGTCTGTATTTTTAGGGGCCAGAAGTGCTGCGGGCGGCGTAACGTGCCCGCTTGAAAGCGTATATAGCGGGCGCAATATATAGAGTTCCATCCGCAGTCGTTCGTACGAGGAATACCAACGTCCTAAGCCATCTTGTGGCGTTAACTAGGCGAATCGCATACCCGTGGAGGACAAATCATGGACGCGGAAACACATTCCACGCAAATTGATGTGGTTCAAGCATCGTGATATTCGGTCATGATTATTAAGGATTCAACCACTATGAAAGACTGGCATATACTACATATCAGAATACACATTTTCTATCGCAGACAATGCAAGAACGAATGACAACTGCTTAAATATATATATAAACACGCCCGTGCTGCGGAATCGCATTTCGGGCGCGAACCCCTGGCATGAATTCATCCAGCCACATCCCATCACCGAGAAAACCTGTTATATAGCCGCCATGCACCCAAGCCGACACTAACCAAAGTCACGAACTGCACCCCTCGGTACACCAGCTTAACCTGCTCAAAGAAATCCATGCGGGTGCCAGGCCCCTCATCGAGCCTTTCGATGTAGGAGTTCTTGATCGCCTCAAGCATCTTGGACTCCATGTCGGATCCAGACATGATCATCGCAGCGGGGGAAGAGGCAGAGACAATGGCTTGGTCGCGGGAGAGGACGGGCTGGACAGCGGTGGTGTGAGAGAGCGGATGGACGAGGATAGAGGGTGGGATTGAGTTGGCAACGGTCACAGCACTGTCAACGTGCTCAGTAACGTAAGTCTGGAATTTCTTTGACTTGACAAAAAGGTAGAAGGCGGAGAGACGCGGCCTGTGTGATGTCCGTGAGTCGGAAGTATGGGACTGAAGAGGGATGTGACGAGCGCACATAGCCTGCATTCGGTCGATGGCAGTATCAGGCGACTGGACACGAGAGACGAGCAAGAACGGGACCCGCCCAGGCGGTATGTTTCTCTTGCTTATTTTCCTGCACAAAATACTGTTAGTGTAGTCCGGCGATGCCTGATGGACATCGACTCACGTCACGTCGTCTTCCAAGATATAGAGCGGGCCAGAAATTAAAGCCTTGGCGCCATCTTTCAAGATAGCATCCACCATGTCCTTGGCACTCTCTGCCTCCTGATTACGGGTGGCGGTCTGGAGGCCGGCCCCAATGCGAGCGACAGCCGTAGCGAGTTCCCGCGCAATGTCATCGTAGACTTCCTCGTCGAAGTATGCGATCCAAGGCGCCATGGGCGACTCACCGTTGAATGCCAGCTTCGCTTGCACTATGGCAGTAGCAATGTCCTTGGCTTCAGTCTTCCTGGCGGAACTACCCGGCCTAGACAGAGCACTCTGGTGGACATAGACGGTACTGGGTCCGTGAAGAGCCCCGGCAATCGCAGGAGGTATGTCGAAATTCAGGGAACCGTCCTTACCGACCTTCAGAGCGGCGACAGACGGCGAAGGAAGGACTTCAAGAAGGTGCGCATGCTGCTTCGACAGCTGGGACAAACCAAGTACGGCGAAAGATAGCTGGTCGATATACCTGGGCAACAGCTTGGACAAAATGTCGGCCACTGACGACGCTACACTTGGTGGGAAGTATAGCGCCGCGACGTCGCCGGCGGCATACGCAGACACCAGAGTACCAAGCGTCGTCACAAATGGGACTGGCAAGCCGAAGGTCAGAGACGAATTCTGTACTGCCTCATATTTACTTACAGGCCCAGTGAGGCGTAACCAAGATGACACCAGCAGGTGCTTGGATTTGCTTGATCTTCTGATTCTGACGGAAGAGTCCTAGGACCTCAGCCCTGGAGCCCTTAGTGGTAGTCTTCGAGCTCCTAATGACGTTGTCCAACTCGGTTTTGACGGTCTGTAGGACTGCTCCAAGTTCGAGCAGAACCTCAGAGCGCACGAGGCGGCTGTCTGTATATGACTAATTAGATGGGCGTTCCAGATCGAAGCCGTATTGGTTTGAGTACCTTTCAAAGCTGCGCCTACAAGCTCATCGGTATGCTTCTGGATCAAGTCTGAGGATGAGTTAGTATTTTCTCTTTGCTTGCTGAACCGGATCCAACATACCATGCACCCCTTGCAACTGCTTCCGCCTCCAGTTGTAAGGACGGCTGGCACCAGCGGTGAAGGTAGCGTCCAACTGGAGAAATGCCTACAATTTACGGTGAGATGATCGACCTCGGTATACAAAAAATCGGATAACTTGCCTGCGTAGAAGACTGCGCCATTGGAAGATGAAGCTGGAGAGTATTGCCATCCCCCAAGTCCTAACCTGCCGCATATATATGATTGCCGTTCGAGGTAACGGACAGGACGTGGGCTCGTGTAATAACAGTCAGTAAGCATCATTCGGAATGCTTGGGGCGCTGCGTTAGCGGTGGGAGGTGAAGGGCTCGAGGTTGCAGCCACCCGTGCCCCGGATTTGGCTGCAGATCATTCCCACGATGCGCAACTAACCCACTCTCGATGACCGAAGTTGGAAGGCGTCCACATCTCCCCGCCTTGGTTCTACGCAAGACGGCCTGGACAGGCTCTCTCTGTGCCAATTCGAGGAGAATGCCGGTTCCACGTTGGGAGACTAATGCCATGACTCCGAGGAATGAACAGACCCACTGCCGACCGGTGATCCTGGAGGGACGGACGGCGGACAAGTAGTGACTTTATAATGCCGCAGAGTTTGCTGGATGGCCCACAACTGCTACTTCCCGTCTGCTTGTCTGGACCTCGACTACGCTCGGTAAGACTTTAGTATTGTTTGGCAATCTCACGACGCGCTTACGTTGTGGTGGTAGACATGCCAGGCGAAATCTCCAAGACCGCAAAGTCAGAGGCATTGACCGCTATCCCCCATTCTCCATGTCTTCTCCCTTATGCCATAGATCATCGTTCTTACAACGATTCTGGACGAATTGCAATCAGCTATCCTAAGCCTGGCACCGGCGAGTATGTCGATGTACCCTGGGCTCAGTTTGGAGCTGCCGTAGACGCGGCGGCCTGGAATTTCGACGCGAAAATCGGCGCTCGTCGCTCTTCTGAGGATCCGGACAAAGTGGTAGCAATCCTTGCCAGATCAGATGCCGCGTACATGATCACTATCTACGCCCTCCACAAGTGCGGATTAGTCCCGCTCCTCATCTCTACCCGTAACTCCCGAGCCGCCATCGTCAATCTCTTAAAGTTGACAAACTCTGTCGCCCTTCTATCCGACTCGTACAACCGGAAGGAGGCCGAGGCCTCCGCAGCTGAGGCGGGCGCAATCCCTGTTCATGATTTGGCACCTTTGCCGGCGACTGTGTCTGTCCAAGACCGCAAGCCTTTCCCCTTCACCTTGAAGTGGGAGGATGAATGCGACCGAAGAGCCCTGATTTTGCATACGTCTGGCTCTACAGGCCTTCCCAAGCCCGTGGCCTGGAACACGCGCTTCTTCTGGCACCAAGGTAAGCTCCTCCGACTTAGTGCACGCTTGATTATACTGAACGGTACATCTATAGGATACTACCCGCCGAAATTCGTTACCAAATACAATAATTCGTCTGTTCTTGCCACGTTGCCCTTGTTCCACGGCTCCGGGGCTGCTCTCACTCGCGCCTCTCTCCTCTGGCTGGGTTGGAAAGTTACTTTCCCCGACCCCTCGAAGCCCGTTACCGCCTCAGCCATCATCGACCTCTGCCAATCCAGCGCCGTCTCCGGTCCGGACATCGTGATCGGTGCACCCTCTGTTATAGAGGAGATTCCGACGCTGCCTGGAGGGATGGATGTACTTCGCGGGCGCAAGTTCTGGTTCTTCGTTGGAGCACCCGTGCCTCCTCACTTCGGCGATTTCCTGGTCAAGGAGGGGATCCACTTCCTCTCGATGCTTGGTAGCACAGAGATCGGGCAGATGAACGTCCTGGAGCCTGATGGCAGAGAGCCTCAGGACTGGCAGTACCATGAGATCCGCCCAGACCTGGACATCGTCTTGGAGCCCAGGGGCTCGACGCCGGACGGCGGACCGTTCGAGCTGATTATCTTGGCGAAGGATGGTTGGAAGCCGGGCACCATCAACGTTAACATCAACGGAGTTGAGGGTTACTCAACTTCAGACCTCTACCAAAGACACCCCACGCATCCCCGCTTGCTCAAACACTGCGGTCGCGCTGATGACGTTATCGTCCTCTCCAACGGGGAGAAGACCCTATCTCGCGCTATTGAAGTGCCCATTGAAGCAGACCCTCGTGTTTCTGCGGCAATTGTCTTTGGTACTGGACGAACGCAGAACGGCGTCCTTGTTGCTCCCGCCTCGGATTACGTCTTTGACCCTTCAGACGAGTCGAAGCTCGCTGAATTCCGAAACGCCATTTGGCCCAGTGTGGAGATGGCGAATAGGACTTCCCCTCAGCATTCGCAGATATGGAAGGAAATGATTCTTGTCACGACTCCTAGAAAGGAGTTGCCGAGGACGGACAAGGGCAGTGTCAAGAGGAAGGCTGCTATAGACCTATACGCCAAGGAAATCGACGAGTTGTATCTAGCTGTCGAAAGCCTGTCGTCGTCGAACAAGCCGCCGTTGCCCGAGCCTGCCGAGGAGAGCACCTTGGTACCGTTCTTCCGGGCCATTGTCGAGGAAGCCATGGGCAAGCCGGTCGGCAGTGACGATGACGTTTTCGAGCAGGGAATGGACTCGCTGAAGGCGATATTTGTTCGTAACTCCCTGCTGTCTGCGTGCCGTCGCAGCGAGAAGAAGGAGATTCAGGCCTTAGCGAGCAAAGTTCCTCAGAACTTCGTGTTCCTATACTCGTCGCCCAAGGCTATGGCTACGGCTATGGCGACCTTAGTACAGTCTGGCTTCTTGGCGGATAGCGGGATGGAAACCGCAGAGCAGCACGCCCAGATCATCAATGATACTGTGGCGAAATACACCTCAGATCTGCCCACGCAGAAGGGGTCCAACGTGCCCGCGGACGATGATGAGGTTGTCATTCTCACGGGCTCGACGGGATCCCTCGGCACGTTCATCTTGCATTCGCTGCTTCTCAATGCTCGCGTCAAGAAGGTAATGTTCTTATCGCTATTGCATGTTGGATTACCTTTAAACGACTCTCATGCAGGTATTTGCTTTCAACCGATCTGGTTCAAGCCCTTCCATGCAACGCCAACAACGTTCGTATAAGGAAAGGGGCTTAGATGTATCCGTCCTTGAGAACGCCGCGGCGTTTGGCAAGCTCGTGTTCCACGATGTCCAGGTCAACCAACGCAAATTTGGTCTTGCGGACGATGTCTTCATCGCCATCCATTCATCTGTTACGCTCGTCATTCACAATGCTTGGGCATTGAACTTCAACTGGTCCTTGGCGACTTTCGAACCTGTTCACCTTAAAGGCCTTCGCAATTTCGTCGACTTCGCCCTCACGTCACCCCGTGATAGAGCTCCGCGTATCGCATTTACGTCATCCATCGCGTCTGCCGGCGCCTACACGAAAGGCCCAGTCCCTGAGGAATCCGTTGATGACCCATCCATGTGCCTGCCTCAAGGCTACGCAAGGTCAAAGTACGTGGGCGAGCGGATACTGGCTATTGCAAGGGAGAAGACAGGCTTGCCCACGATTTCCTTCCGCATTGGTCAGATTTCCGGAGACTCTCGACGCGGTATTTGGAACGAGACAGACAACGTACCAGCTCTAGTTCGTGGCTGCCAGGAGCTCGCGGCTATCCCAACCGACTGGCCACCCGTGGTTGCTTGGACACCCGTCGACAGCGTTGCTCAGACTGTAGTCGACGTGTGCTTAGATCCGAAGGGTCGTGTCGGCATGTTCCACATTGCGAACCCCAAGCCGACCCCGTGGAGCGAATTTGTGCCAGTCTTACAGGCCAATCTTAAGACGCAGGATGGCCGCAAACTGGTACTGGTCAAGATGCGCGAATGGCTTGACCGGCTGAACGATGGCCAACAGTCGGCGGAGTCTAACCCTGCCGTGAAACTCATTGCCTTCTTCGAGAACAATCTGGCAGGGAGGGGTATCCGTTGCCGGCTTGACTTGCAGAAGACGGTGGAAGTCTCGAAGACGTTGAGGGAGGTGCCTGCAGTGGATCACAGGATGTTTGAGACTTACCTGAACTACTGGAAGAGTATCAGCTTTTTGCGCGCGTAGATTTGGTTCAGATGTTACTAATGGTATAGAGACATAGCCGGCGTTGTATAGTATGTACGGTAGACTCATATTTATTTTGGTTTTTCTTCGCACAGTATTTTTCGGAATGCCCGTCAGCGTCAGTAGTGAAAGTCAAGGCACAGCCACAGTCTGGGCTTCCTGGAGAGCTTCGTTGTACAGCGTTATACATAGTCAAGCATATACTGCAGTCCAATGTAAGTATATATCCCTCCGCGCAGGACGTGCATTTCGACCAACTCTCGGACTTCCTCGGCAATAATCTCGACGAATGTGCAAACCCTGGCACCATCGAATGACCGTACACACAAGCACAGGGTTTTTCTGTCCCCATGCCCCCCAAGCGTCAATGGACACACAGTTTGTCCCCGAGATATCCTTGCTTTGCTACACATCGGGCGTAGTTGGCATCCGATATTGAATCATTGACCATCAGTATGTGCCAGTAGCGCCCTCCACCGGCGAGTGACGCCCTTCTCCGAAGTGCTCGCCGATCGGCAGTCTTGACGCAGACACGATCCCCACTGGTCTACAAACATACGTATGATCGTGACGACCATCGCAAGCATAAACCTTTCAAGACTTGATTACAGGAGTATCAAGAGCGTAGGTCACCCGTTTATATTCTGCTGGCGTTATCTTGCAGTTCGCTGACGAAGCCCACTTGATCTAGGGTCCTTAGAGCCTAACTGCGAATGGCGCAGTATTGCAAGGACCGGTATCGCTCATTCCAGCTGGCCCGAGGTACGGCGAGTATCAGCAGATTAGCAAGGGATAGGGATGGTCTTCTTTCATTTGAAATGCTTACTAGCCACGCATAGGTTTCACACTTCAACTATTACTCATTCCGTGCAGCAAAATACAACAGTATCTGGCATCGGATCGTTTTCATGTAGGGATTGAGTACCAATGACTCGTGTCCTCGAACGTTTGTATATTCTCGCGTGACCCGTTGCGCTCGGATTATCCTGACTAGGGACGCAGTGAGCCCTAGGTACACGATCACTTCCGTATCAAGCAAGAGGTTGGTTCAATGTTGCACTGAATGACTCGATTATGAAAACGAACTAGATGTCTCGCTGCCAGGCGTACACCATGGCCGAGATCGACGCCGACCACGGCATTCACCTTACTGACGATACGCATTTCCCGGTAACTGACGTTCTTGCGTTAGGCGTTGACAGGAATGGATTGTGGCACAACTCACCACTCCAGGCACTGCAGCATTCGCTCCTATGGGAAAGCTCCTCGCCGGATGACATCACTCTTGGGTAGACATGGAGTGGGTGCAGATAGATAGCGTCTGCCATAGAGCGGGTAAGCCTGTGCAACTCTTTCACCCGATGGCCTTTGATTCTGAAGCTTATAATAGATAAGGCGATTCGGTCGATACGTTCCACTATGCGGCGGAGATCAAAATGCATGTCCATTCCTTCTTTCTCTAGTACCACAGCAGCTGAGAGCGTCAGTTAATTGGGTCTTGAACAGGCTTTGGTCTGGCGCCTGGTGAAATTTATACATAATCTTTGGCTCTCGTTGATTTTGGTTCCGTTGATGTATCGTAGGGCCTCTTAGGTTGACTGAACTCCTGCCCCTTCGCTGTATGGTGAAACAAATGCTTGGGGGTATACACCGGCTTGCACGATTTCCACAGCGATGGTGATACCGCGTCATAGTCAGCTGCCTGCCAGGCTGTCCGATTTTTAAAGAGGCATGACATGCGTGAAGAAGGGAAAGCACTTGGTATCGAGAGTCAATGATGATATTGTATGTCCTACACACATTGTATTGACTGACTAGCTTCTGCAATAGTCCATATCCTGCAAGCGTCAAGCCTCTCTTGCGGGCTTCATGCATGACTGGTTGTTGAGGTTACCCTTAATAGGTAGCCAGAGTCTCAGGCTGACTTGTGCACGCATTACCTCTAGACCATTGCAATCCTTCGGGGTAGGACCGTATCGGAGAATTTCGTTGGCCGGTGGCAGCACACCGGTCAATACCGGCTGTTTCCCTGACGGATGTGGCGATTGGATCAACGAGTACAGTTGAGTCGCCTCTGAGGCTCTTGGCAATCAAATGGAAGGCAGAGAATGTGGCACAGACAGAACATTGCCGCAATCGATCGTTAGGGCAGCGCACAACTTAAACGTGTATTACGCACTACCTCGGTCGAGACTTCGCATTCAGTGCATGTTCCGACGTAGACGCTCGCAGACCTTATAACCAATGTTGTATGAGTTACGGAGTCTTCTACTCGCTAACGTATGCCCCGCTCTGCTGGACAGCGCGTGCTACCATCCGCCGTAGACACTTCTCGACTAAGTATGGACCCTACTTCCGACCCTCCTGCCTCTAGCAACATGTCCAGAGTACGTCGGCATAGGGGCAACATACCCTCCTTGCCGCAGACAAAGCACTGCCCCCTCTGTCCGGCGAAGTTCACCCGGACGACCCACCTTAACCGCCATCTTCGATCACGTATGTTCGCTTTACCTCTCTGCCGGAGCGCCTACCTTCAGCTCCGCTCTCGTTTCAGACACCAATGAAAGAGATCACTGTTGCGAGGTATGTTCATTTCATGAGATGAGCCGGCTCCGAGACTGAGTTCTGTCGTCAAGCGCTGCCAATCACAGTTCACGCGTAGCGATCTCCTAACTAGACATAAACGAACCTGTGGCGATCCGTAGGTGTTCTGTGCGTCTTTCCCAGATGCTTCGCTTATTATAGACGAAAAGTGTTCTTGCCAATCGCTCTCGTCGCAAGTCGTGCGAGGCGTGCGCCGAGTCGAAGATCAAGTGTGATTTGGAGCAGCCGTGCTCAAAATGCGTGTCTAGAGACCGCGAATGTATTTTTATCAACGACCCAAAGCAGTCCTCCAACAACTTGAAGCCGAGACGTTCACGGAGCAAAGAAGCAGAAATGTCACCCCCAGCACTTACTCTCGTTATATCAGAGGACGACGTCGTGCCTTCTGCGTCACCCACTTCGTCCCCGGCCACATCGCCGGAGGCGTCTTCTTCTAGGCTTTCATCTCCGCTATCTACGCTGTCTTCGCTTTCTTCGGATTTGGTAAGCGCTGAAGCTCCAATGCGCCTTTGCCTTGAGGGCTTGGACGGCGTGGCTCCGCCCGGCCATGCCGACTTCAGCAAGTTATTCCCTGCCCCATTTTTCGGGGCCTCTATCAACGATCTCCTTTTTGTCCAGCCTAGTGATACTGCTAAGGCACGAGAGGCCTACTCGTTTATGGCGTCTTACCCATTTTACGCAAACGCTATTCCCACTCATTTCTACAGTGCAGATGAAGGTTTGGCGACAACTTTGCCACCAGGTCCGAATGGACCAGCCTTTGGTGCAGTTCCATCATTGCAGTCCGAGTCACATAACTCAGATGCGCTTGCGTCTGGCCCTAAGGGGCCGTCGGAGCAAGAATTACAGAACTACAGTGAGTGACATTTACCGTTGAAAGCCGAACTGCTCGATTGACAGCGGTCTTGGAGTGTATTTATTCTTCGCGGAATTCTTGACTCAAATACCAGTCATACACTCCGCTACCTGGTTGCCTGATGGGAAGCCACCCATCTTGCTCCTAGCGATGCGAGCATGTGGCGCCCTGTTTTCGGACACCCCCACTGCTCAGGATTTCATCAGTGAAGCGTTGCGATCATCCAGAGAAGTGCTTATTACAGAGTTTGTCCGTGATCTCACTATACAGCATGGCAATGAAGGCTGACATGTACCGCCTTAGTCCAGCTCGAGAGAGGCAACCGACGAACAAACTCATCTCATAATGGCTGTGACCCTACTGCAGACAGTGGGCCTATTCCACCAGCGGCCTGACCAGAGAACTTCATCGAGCATATACCATGGGATGGTGGTTATGGTCAGCTCAGCTTGATCCCCGCGGCAACGCTTCAATAACGCTTGCTTATGCCCGACAGATGATACGAAGGAGCGGCCTAATCGAGCAGAACGTCGCCTGGCCTGTGCCTGACTTCAACGATCCATATCAGGTTGAGGATGCTTGGCGATCTTGGGCGGCGCATGAGATGATCAAAAGGTACGAAACTCCCGAGATCGGGAAGCACATTTTGCTTATCTGGTTAAGCAGAGCGTTGTTGCTTTCGTACCTCCACGATTGTTGTCAATCAATCTACTTCTCTCTAGCTCCGTCATTCTCGCCTGGGGAGATACGGCTCCATCTCCCGTGCGATGACCCTTTGTGGAAAGCACCGTCAGCTCAGGAGTGGCAAGGCCTTCTGCAGGCGCCCTCTTCCGCCATCTCCCCCATCGACCGGCTCACTGGCCAGAGCCTCCAATGCACAATCGCTAACTTGGGCGAGATGCGTCGGCCTCCCAGTGCCATGGTCTCTGACCGGTTCTCCCTCTTCATCCTTATTCATGCTATTCTGGGCGACATGTACGCCGCGAGCCTGAGACCGTCAACGCCAACATCGTACCTAGCCCCCAGCAAGTCTCAGTACGAAGCTGGTTTCAGAGAACACGGTAGAGAAAACCCCTTCGCCCTGCAATCCGCGCTGCACGGCTGGATGCAATGTTGGATGAATGATGCGAGCATCGCAGACCTCGGAAGCGACGCGCGGTTCATGTTCAACCCTCTGCCATTTTACTGGCTTGCCCAGATTTCTTTGACGTCTTTACAGCAAGGGCTTCCTCCTCTGGCAGCGGAGAGCTACGGGCGTACAGTCGAAGCCTCCTTCAGGCTGGTTAAGAGGTGGCTTTGGCGTATCCGCGCATTCCTGCGGCAGGGAGATCAGCAACCACCGGCTGGAGTTCTTTGGGAAGAACTCATGAGGATTCGCACGGAGACTTGGCGGAACGAGGTCGGGGTGGATGTCGGTCCCGAATCTGAATCCGAGGGACTGATGGCTTTCTTCGCCAAAGACTAGACGATTTTGTGGACCGCTAAAATTGTCACGGTGATTTTTGCCGAAAACCTCCGAAGATTTTTTGCATGTGCCCCGTTGCGTACATGTATCTTGGTTATATGGACATCACCCCTGTACCCATAAATTTTGCTGCTCCGAAGCGGACCATATGTAGGGTTTTGGCTAAGGACGCATGCTAGTATCTATAACACTGCAGTTATGCATAGTCGGGTCAAACTTGAACATACCTATACGAGTCCAGCAACGGCTAACTGTCCACCTTCGGGAGAGGGGTCCCGGGTGACACGTACCATGTGGCGAAAACGGCGAAGTGTAAACACCGTGACCCGGGCAGGTATGAGATGTTCGTATGTCTAGTTGGGCGACGAACGTGCACGCAGATAACGCCGACCGACCCCAGAATTGAGACACGAGACACTTACAGTAAAGCGAATAATACCTGTCGTGCGCCCTCAAGGAGTATGATTGCGCTCCCAACTGGAGATGATGGAGTTCCAGAAAGCGCCAGATCCCGGCAATGAGGGATGATGGTGGCACTGGTTGAAGGTGGACTACCAGAGAAGCCGAGCGGTAACGTCTCGAAGACTGTAGGCGGTGCGCAACAGTACACAGCATGACTGAGCACGCGCTTTGCCGCAGTTCGGGTTAGGCTGGCACGCGCAGTACGTCGCGGTCGCTCAGGGAATCTACGATTTAGGCACTGCAGATATCCAGCAGGTAGGGCGTAAGATATCACATATACACATCCGCGACGTAGGATATCTTCTATCTTCCCATGTACCAGGATAGCTGCGGCATTTTCGTCCTCAGGCGGAAAAGGCGGCGTATACAGTCCTCCAGGGAAGTAGTTGGCCCGGGTGATGGGCCGGTTAACTAGGGCCTTCCCGGTCACTCTACGATGTCGTATAATTGGTCGGCAACGGTCCTTCTCGTCATCCGGACGTTGTAAAGAATGACCAGGGCTTCGCAGAAGATAAGGCGGCGCTTAGGGTACACCAGGGGCATAGTCAGCAAACCTGATATTCCGGCTTGCCGCGAGCTTCGATAACAGAAGGGACCGTATGAGATCTTCTGGCGAGTCGACTCGGAGTTGGATAGTTGCGGTGTTCCAAGTCCCAGACATCAGAGGGGACAGGCAAGACCCACGGAGATGAAAACGCCACTTTGGCAAGCCCGCACGCCAAAGCTTTAGTCCAGTTTACGATTGATTTACCAGAGACTTCCTAGGATTCGAAAGTAGATTCAGTAGAAGGCGGTGCCTGTGAGAGTATGACACCGTCCGCAGAGAAAATAGGAGACCGAGACTGACTTGATATCAGACGATCACCCCGAGCCTTGGATGTGAACGCGGTGGTGATAAGGGGGCTATGAGATGTGCTTTACCTTCCCCGAACGTTTAGGTAAGACCCCACCCCGGGAGTTTGAAGTTGATCTTGGTCAAGTCTAAACCCTGTAAACTGTAGGGGTTTTCTGGTGGAGGATCCATTTGCAAGCTACATGAGCAATTGAAGCACTCCGGGACCTAGAGGGAGAGAGGCACGTGACCGGGACGCGTCGCGCCTTCGACTGATCTGAGTTTCCACGGTTGAATGAACATACCCTGAGCAGACACCCCTGCGTCTTTCAGTCTCTCCCATTCCAAAATGGCCGGCGAATCTACAAATGCGAGGTCTGTGCGACCACCGCCCTTCACGCCCAAGAGACCACTGTCCGTCAGTGCGTTAAGCAGCGACAGTTCAACAGTGGGTAGAATACCTCGGGCAACGACCCCGAGCAGTCTAGGGTCTGCCAGGAAATACAAGTCGACGCTTTCAGTGGAAAGTCGATCTCGCTTGTCTCAGAGGCCGCGTTCTGGTCTTTCTCCAGTGCCTGGTACCCCCACCAAAGCTTCTTCGTACGATGCTTCGCGACCCAAGACGCCGTCAACCCCACGTTCACGGAGTAGAGGAGCGGAAAGCCCATGCCCTGATCTGCCAAGTGAGATGGACGTTACCCAAGTAGATCCAGAGGAAGTACTGGTGGACTACCAGACGGTTGAGGCTGGAGACATCTCGGGCGAGATAGACGAAGCACTGTTAACCAGGGACCACGGCGCGGAAGACAAAGTCATGGTTTCAATCAGGTACGTTCTGGCGTTTTATGGTCAATGTGGTTCGTTCATGCTTCTTAGAATCCGGCCTTCGACCTCGCCAATAGCTTGGGACATTTCAGAGGCCCAGTCGAAAACTCTCAAACTATTTCCCCAATATGCTAAATCGACTATGTCCTCACCACCCCAGTTCAATTTCGACGAGATTCTGACAGGTTCTGAGAACAAACCTGTCTATAACGCCGTTGCTAGGAGTCATGTTTGTGCGGCTATGGATGGGTATAATGCTATAGTGTTTGCGTACGGACAGACTGCAAGTGGCAAAACGTTCACGCTGGTAAGTTATTATCATGCATGGCGCACTGAGCTGACTCAACACATTCTGTAGTCTGGCAATGAGGAACAGCCTGGTATAATACCCCGGGCCATGAAGGACGTGTTTGCTTTTATCCGACGAACACCGACGCGGGAATACCTCCTTCGCTGCTCCTACCTCGAAATATACAATGAAACCATCCACGACCTGCTGGCACCTCCATCCTCGACGACTTCTCATATTGTGGAAATCCATGGCTCGGGGTCGAACGTATGGTTATCCCCACTCCGCGAGGAAGTCGTCACCAGCCTGAAGGGTGTGAAGGAGGTGCTGGAGAGGGGTAACGCGAACAGGCGGACGGCTACTACTGACTGGAATGAGCGGAGTAGCCGGAGTCACAGCGTCTTTAGGCTTGTGATCGAAAGTAGGGAGAGGGCTGACGCGATGAGCTCCAGCGGAAGATGTACGCCCGGTCCTCCTCGACCACCGACACCTGGTGGTCCCAGACTGCAGGCATTAGGCGGGAAGAGCGTGCAGACCTCAGTCTTGGTACGAGTATCCTCAGCTTCTCCCCGAGATGGCCGTGCCACTCATCACGACTACAGAGTCTCATTGACCTGGCGGGATCAGAGAAGGCAACCTCAGACAAAGAAAGGACTAAAGAAGGGAAGTACATCAATCAAAGGTATGCTCATGTTCTTCCGAGATTCTTCTCCAGTAGCTCATGCGATCTCTCCAGTCTCCTTACTCTCGGCACTGTCATTGGGACCCTCGCCGATAACGCGGCAAAGCACAAAACGTATCGAATTATGCTTATTTTCCGAGGACACTAACTGACATTTCCCCAAGTGACTACGTGCCCTTCAGAAACTCGAAACTGACCCGTATGCTGCAGCCCTCGCTGTCGGGGAATGCGCGTATATCAGTGATATGCACTATCAACCCTGACACGAACGCTGTGTCGGAATCTACCAACACGCTTCTGTTTGCCCAAAGGATCAAGAAAGTCCAGGTATGTGGTTGTTCCTCGGCACGAGTACATACGGCGAGCACCTCCTGACTTCGTGGAAATCCTCTGTAGCTCAATGCCCACAAGGGCGAAGTGATGGATACGGAGGCGCTGCTTGAGAGGTACCGTATAGAGATCGAAGACTTGAAGAAGAAACTTGCCGAGAGGGAAGCTGAGGCGCCGGCCAAATCACGTCGTCTCTCTGCCCAGGAGGTTGGTTCCGACGATGTCGAGAGGTCACGTTCCAGTCCATTTGCTGATGGATGTGATGTCTACAGAAAATCGAGGAGTCCAAGGCGATGAAGGATTTGAATTCACGTATCCAGCAACTGACGAAGCTCATCCTGACGAGTCAAACGGTTGAAGAAAGGGAGGCGTCGCGCCCTGGCAGTCCTGCCAAGGTCGACTTTGATATGACACCGTACCAAGTGTGTTACGTCCTTCTTGCCGCGCATGATCGGCTTGTTGATAGATCCTCCTCTGAATAGTTGCAGCAGGAGCTGCTGGCTGCAAGACGGGAGATAGAGACGCAGTCAACACAAATTCTATCACTAGAGGCTGCGCTACTGGCACGGCCTGAACTCCCTCCTGACGCGCCTGAAGACTCTAAGGACAAGTTGATAGCTGAGCAGGCCAAGACGATCAGGGAGCTGGAGATTGTCGTTGCTGGATATGAGGACAATCTCGGCGAGCCGCTACGTGCGGTCCGGGAGGACGTCGAGCAGGAGTGGAGCGTCAAGCTCGAGAAGGAGGTCAAACTTAGGAAGGAAAAGGAGGCATGGGCGGAGGAGCTTGTCAGGCAGCTTGAGAAAGAGCGCAAGGTGCGCGCTTTCTCATTTGCGACTGGCTTACCCTCACTGATGTCTCTGATACAGATGAGGACTAAACTGGAGGAACAACGGCGAGCCTTGGCGGCCTTTGTCAGCAAGTTCGACGCCTTGGGATTAGGTGGCGACTTGGCAGTCCCCTCTCTTCCCAAGCCTCCGATGCCGGCGCCTGGAGGCGCTCACCAGATATTTGCAGAGCGACAGCGGAACAAATCGACTTCTTTCGGGCTCAGCTCGGACTTCAGCTCAAACGCTGCCGACTCCCCAGTGAAGATTGAGCTCATCCACGTCAAGGGTCAGCCAAGTCTGCTGGAACAGATGCCTGAAGAGGACCCTTGGAACGATGTTAGCTTCGAGATGGAGCCTGGTCATGATCTCCTTGGAGAGAAGGAGAACGTACCCGCGTAAGGGTTGCTTCGCGCCCCAAGCCTGCAACCATGTTGCATTTGATCTATCTGTGCTATCGATGTTGTTTTGTTATCTTGTTTTGATATTGCTCTCGCATGTTTTCTATCGAGGACACGAATACCCTGTGCAGCCGCTGTCATAGGCACGACCCTATTTAATGTCACATTTTGCATCAGACATATGCGGATGGAATGTCGACTGTTCGTGAGATATAAGCTCCGCTATTTCGGTAAGATATCTTTCACCTTCTTCACTCTCTTGTGAGGAGAATCCGCCTTTGTCAGGCTAGTCTCGATGTGGACCGCGGTGCAAACGCGGGGAGCGCCTTTCTGGTGCAACACTGAGTGGCATTGCTGCATTGCCAGGCAAACTTCTGATCACGGGCCCTTCTGAAGCAACAGGGTAGTATTCGTGCTAGTCCTTGACGAGACGTGATTGTCGAAACCGACCTAGGTTTGTGCCGTGCCCGCTGAAAACGCAATAGACGATCCTGAGGTTAAATATCGGGCTATTAGTAAAGGTCACCCACTGGCACTGCATCTGAGGCGAGGGTTAGCCTATTGAATGCCCCACACGGCATTTTTTGCTGAGACTCACTTGGTACGAAACGCCGGTGGTTTCCAGGACTCTGTAACATTCTGCTATGTATTCCGAGATGTGAAGCAACTAAGCTCAGCAGATGCATATACCTGAGGTCCACGGACAACGTACGGATGGGCTGCCCGTCCCAACTGGGGTGAGAGAGAAATCTACGAGACCGTCACGCCCACTGAGTACTTCGCCAATTGCTTGTCTTGAGCTTATCGGCCATAGCATACAATTCACCATCCACACGTCCAGACTCTGATCTTCTTGATGCTACGGAATTTCGAATGGCCACTGGTTTCATTGCAGCTAACTTGAGGCTAGGTAGGGAGCATGACGACCTGTATGCAACCTTCAGTTGTCAGGGAGCGCTGAACACGACGACAGCATGCAATAAACTTTTTTCGACTTGAAGATAATATATGACAAGGATGTAGTGAATGGGGAAGGGAGTGCCGCAAGGTGAGAATGGGTGTCAACGAGCATAACAGACATACTCCTGAGAACCACAGGGCACTATGACATCGGTATTCGTAGTACATGTATGTCACGAGGATCAGGCGAAGGTAAAGACAACAGCTAATTTGGAAACTCAAAGAGCGTTGTTGCGCGGATGATCATGGTACGCAGTCATGCGTCTGAGCCACGTCCACCGACAATAACATGTCCTCGACAGGTAAATCTGTGATACTTATACGACGTCCTGCAAAGGATGAAGAATACAACACCGCCAGTTCTGAGTTTTACAATAGGGTCGCGCGAGCGCTGGCCACAGCTCCACTTCGACCGCGGGAACTGTCGCCGTTCTACTACATATTAGTCAATTCGGAAAGAGATCGCCATTGGCTAGGAGAGTGCACAAGGCAAAAGCCAAGGTTAGGGTTAGGACATCGGACCGGCAAAACAGAAAGTACGAAGAAACGTAACGTACTCATCCAGCTGTATACACTCTGTGGTGGCGCACGGACCAATTCTCACGCCCACAGACGACACCCGTACCCTGACTGGCATGTCAAACCCGGCTCGTTGTAGGCTTGATCCTGCGCCTCTTAAAAAAGACTTAGTAGACGAGCAACTGTCTTTAATGGAGGCTTGTACCCGTTTAGTATCAGCGTCGCAGAAGTCCCCCCCAGGCTCTCGCGCGTGCTCAAAAAGGCAGGATTCTCCGCCCAAAACGGCAGGTGCACATGGTTGGCATCTGCCGGACCTCGGCACGTATATAAGGTGGTAGGGCCGTGCGAGCGGCAGAGCCCGCTACCGTAGACATAGACAAGATTTGGTAGCAAGCTGAAAACTTGACATCCTGAGCAGCATCATATACTAATATATTTATTTTGCGAAAGCAGTTGTGTTCCAGCCATGATTTCCGACTGAGCATTCACCTCAACGATTTGAAGAGATGTCCACTCACTCCTCCCTCAGGTTCTGAGTATACAAGTCATTTATGTAAAACAGCTGACATTGAAGTATGCTGCTTTCACCTGGAGACCGCATCTCCAACGCCCCAAGCTAGGTCATGTCTGTTCTCTTGAGTCCCTTGACCAGCATCCGCCACCTTGGCTAAAGATGGAAAGAGAGATTCCACGTGGTTCTACGATCGGGGTCCTTTGAGGACCCCATCTTTGATTGGTCCAAAGCCGTGTGCCGGTCCTGCCGTCCGCCATATACGGTTAAAAGCCAAATAGTGTCAAATAGATCGCGTAGATCTTGAAACGATCGCAGGAAACCTGCGAACGGCCGGGGGGTCCAAGACCCACTACCTACGGTAGCGGGAATAGTCTCGACCTCTTCAACGCTTCCTCTACCCTACACCGAGGGCTATACTGCCTATAACGTACGCGCTGAATGCGCAAGAGCGCATAGAACCTCATGTACACAATTCCTTTAAAGTGGAGGGGGCGGGTCGAGGCACTAAATGTGGCCCAGTAGAAGCCTTACTGGGATCAAAAATCACGCTGAGAGATCTGTAGCTTTTCAGACTGTCTCCTACTTTCAATGGGGAGTCCCAAAGCTCAGTAGCTCCTCCTGGTACATTATATACAGGATAAATTACAACTACTAGGTTATAGTACTGCGAGCACAACGAGAAGTCAACAGCACGAAGTTCCTTGCCGTATATTCCGCAAGGTCCACGCACGTGGTTTACCACTGCTGCGGCGCCCCAGCTACTCGTTTGGGTGGGGTTCACTTCCAAAAGCGGGCTAAGGGGGGACTTCCCTATGCTGTATCGGAAATATGCACTAGCCTAGCTCGTTGGTGCATTGAAGTCTACAGATGACATGTTGCATATGGTCCCTCGAGCAGAACAGCTGTGCTACTCAGTCGAGATCTCGAGCTTGAGCCTGAGCAATCGGGGTCGAGTCATGATATACATCTATATACAGCGCATAAATACGAAGACAAAAACATCACAAATTATACAGAGTCTAGGCGCTAATGAAAAAAAACCCGTGAACAGCAACGAGAGGACTGACTTGATAACGATATGCAAATGATTGAGATATGAGCAGGGTCCTGGCCTGCTTCACCGCTCATCGGTAGCCAATCCCCACACTTGCCATTCGGCCTGAGCCTCCTCGAACGATTTCCGGATGATCTCAGCCTTCTTCGGCGACCGCGCTTTGAACTTCACTGGGAAGATCTTTGGGATACTGACGAAACCATCCGTGAACGTCTCCTCCTCGTCATTGATGTCGGGGACGACGGAGTTGCCAGTCTTGGGGTCAATGGGCGCCTCGAAGTCGATACCCCACAGGATGCGGGAAAGCACAATGAAAAGTGAGGCCTCAGCGATGTAGGATCCTTGGCAGAATCGGCGTCCCCAGCCGAAGACGTAACTTTGAAGGTTCTCTGAGTATATGCAGTCCCAGCAGCGAGGATACGATCTACTTACTGGTCACGGCCTTGTGTATCAGGACCACTGCTCCAGGGCGTGGGCTGGCCCTCCTTGTAGAACCGGTCGGGGTTGTAGGCGCGGGGGTTGGGGTAGCGAACCGGGTCCATGTGGATGGCCCATACATTGCCAATCACGGTGGAGCCCTTGGGAATGTAGTAACCGTCGTATACGTCGTCCTGGTCGGCCAAGTGAGGGATACCTGAAGAGATAGCGGGTTGGTATCAGAGGCCACACAGTGATGCGAGAGGCAGACATACCCATGATAGTCGGCGGACGCCTCCTCAGCGTCTCCTTAATGCAGGCGACGAAGTAAGGCAAGTTGGCCTCGTCATCGAAATTAGGCATGCGGTCCTCTCCAACGACTCTGTCAATCTCATCCCGCACTTTCTTTAAGACATGTGGGTGGCTGAGCATGAACAAGATGAAACTCTGCATTGTGCTAGCGGTGGTGTCAGAGCCGGCCTCGAGCACCGTCGCCGCGGTGTACGCCAGCAGCTTGTCCCGGAGCCAGCCATCCTCAGTCAAACCGCAGCCAGGCGCCTCCTCCTTACCCTTGTCAGCACGCTCCTTCAAGTAGTTACCTACGTAGCTGTCACGGAAGATGCCGTCCTTCATGTCGTGCTTGATGTCGTCGAGGAGACCTCCCCACAGTTCCATTTCCCTGGTTCTTGTTAGCACAGCATATATTGCCAATGTGTAAAATGTTTTTCGTACCATTCGTGCATCTTCCGGCCTTCGATCCGCCAGGGTGCCAGGACATCGGGAAGCCTCCGGAGAATGGGGAAAGCATCAGCCCTAGAGACATTGATGAGTCCTTGGGAAGGGAAGCCCCGAGCGGTTGTACTCACAAATAGTTACCGGGTTGACCGACATGAGTGAAGTTGGCCAGGACATCATAGATCTTGTGGCTAGACGAACCGGTCGGTATTTGCCGCTGACGGTAATAATAGAAATCACACTTACAGATATGGGTTGTTCGTAATCCTGTGAACACGCTTGCCGTACATGACAGTCATGACTATACTCGTCGTCTAGTCGCAAGGTCAGTTGGAGTCGCGCTAATTTTGGTACGGGTGACCCACATATCTCCGGATAATGGCAAACCAGTGCGACTCAGGGACCTCGCCGTGTGGCCCTTCCACCTGCTTTTCGGCAACGCTCCTGTCGCCGTGCGTCAGCAGGTCGTAAAGGACGACTCGAGATTCAAGTTCTTGTTGCGGGCGGAGTTTCTTCGATGGACCGGGGCCAATAGCGGACTGCAGGCTCTTCCGTGCAACCTACGAAAGTGATTATCGTACAAGCCCGCTACAAGGTTGGGTAGATTGACACCGAACTAACCTTCCATTCCTTATCGTAAGGGAGAAATACCAGTCTCTGACCCGCGCTCATGATATCGTGAGCGACGTGAGGCGCCGCCCGGCTAGAGTAATAGTTGCTGCGTTTGACGAACAGCTCATCAGCGGCATCCGCACTGTTGAGAACAATGACATCCTGAGGCCCGAGCTTCAAGTGGAAGATTTGGCCGTATTGTCTAGCCCATTCGCGGAACTAAGGATATCATGTATCAGTAAACGCGATTTCCGACAATTACCTAGGTGCTTACCTTCGGGTACGGTCTTAAGACAGGGACTTGGAATAGGTTCCCGAAGAAGGGTACTCCCTTAGGACCCGGTGGAAGATTCTTGCGTGCAGCAGAGCGATTCCCGACAAACGCAAGTGCAGCAATTGCCACAGCGAGTAGTAGGGCAAACGCCTCGGTCGAGGAGATCCAAGACTGAGCCATGTCAGGCGGACAGAGACGGTTGATGGTCCCGTGTTGGGGGGAAGGGCAGTTTTTATACCAGGTCCTCAGCGGGATTGCGGGAGGGTACCCTCTACGCCGACGCTTACCTTTCAGTGTGCAGAGACGTGTCGGAGAGCGTGGTGGCTCCTAAACAGACTCCTATGCCTGCTCCGAATGCGGACTGCAACGGGGTGAATCAGGTCTCCTGGGACCGTGTAGGACCATCTAAGATCCTATCCTAAGCAAGAGAGCAGAACACCAAGAGAGCGTCGGGTCTCGTCTTACCGTGCCTCCACAGAAAGCATTTGTGGGTCGCGCTTCTGGTCGCCGTATTGTGCCTTGAAATGCCGGCGGTGGCGGGATTCCTAAATCTTGCATAGATATCGATCCCGAGCGGTATGCTTCCTAGACGCTGTAGCCGTTGTTCGTCCGGGGGCATTCTCGCTGCCGGCCGTGGGTTACATGCAGTGTCTTATTCACTATGCACGGCTCGAAGACCCCATGGACGGGACACTCTCGGCGGTAAGTAAATGGAGCTTCCATTCCATAGCGTAGAGTGCGTCGTTTGTGGGTTTCACTACTCATGCCATATATGGTACTATTTGTAAGCAAGTGGTCTGAGTTGCGTCCAGTGGCTGTGCCCCGGGAAGTGAGTGGGTCGCTGGGCAAGAACGGAGAAGAGCAGCATGTAGTCAGCGTTTGATGAGCATGGACCTTTGTTATAAGGACGCGTCGCTTGGAAAGGCGCGCTCTCTCCGTTGCATCGCCCGACATGCAGTCCTCGTCGCCGTCAGGAGCCATGGCCGTCAGTCAAAGCTCGGACGCGGGCGTTCAAGCTAGTGGACCACTGCAGGCCGACCAAGGCGTTCGAGTTACGATGCCAGGCTTCGGGGTTACGTTGCAGTCCTTCTCAGTATCGCAAGTGCCGAGGGCGGGAGAGGTTAACCCTGAGGCAGACAAGAGCTCCGACGAGACGCTACAGGAGAAGGACTCAATCGCCGCATCACAGAATGGGTTCAAGTCCGCAAGTCAGGTAGAGGAATTTACCCCGGAGAGTACTGTGCCACCGCCACCTCCGGATGGCGGATTGGATGCATGGTTGACCGTACTCGGTTCAGTACTAGTATCCTTCAGTACGTTCGGGTATGTTTCGATTCACTTTTTCTGTAGCAACAATATAGTGATTGGCTGCTTAGTGTCGTCAACTCCTATGGAGCGTTCAGCGATTACTACAAGACAACCTATCTGTCTCATTACTCGGCGACGTTGGTTTCCATGATTGGGGCTGTTCAAGTTTTTATCCTCTATGGACGTGAGTGCCGAACTTCTCTGCATATCTGTTCTTCCATGCTCAAAGGGGGCGTAGTGGGTGCCTTCTCCGGTCCCTTATTCGATGCGTACGGCCCCCGGCTCATGATTCCGACCAGCGGCTTAATCGCCACCTTTGCCCTCTTCATGCTGTCATTAACGCAGCCGCAGAAGATCTGGCAACAATATCTTACTCAAGCCATTCTGTTCAATATTGGCGCCTCAATAGGGTATGTTCGACAGATTTGACTTCGCTAGTTCCCTTACCAAAGGAGCTTCATACCAGGTTCTTCCCGGCTGTGTCCGTCATAGCTCATTGGTTTAAGCGCAACGCCGCTTACGCCATGGGATGTGTAATTGCAGGCGCAAGCGCGGGAGGGATTGTATTCCCGATCATGATCCACAAGCTAATCCCGAAGATAGGCTTTGGTACTATATACCTATCGCTGTTCTATATGTACTTGCCGCTGACCCTTTAACAGGATGGACGGTCCGAGCTATCGCGTTTATCATTGTCGGATGTTACAGTATCGCATGCGTGACGATCAAGACCCGCCGTCCGCCGAAGCCTCTACCCCCGTTCACGCGCATGGTGGACTTCGGCGCGTTCAAGGATATCCGATTCGCGCTTATGGCGGTCGGGCTGTGGCTGAATATTATCTCCGCCTTCAACCCCTTCTTCTACATCGGCCTGTACGGCATCACGACCGCTGGCCAGAACGTCCTGACGCCATACTTGTTGACTATCATGTGCGCTACAAGTATTGCCGGACGAGTTCTGCCTGGTATTATTGCGGATAAAGTCGGTCGGTGAGTATAAGCGCGACGGTCGAAACTGTCCGCTTGGTTCTGATAATTGCTGGTTAGGTTTAATATTATCACCCTTGCTACCCTCCTCTCGGGCGTACTGAGTTTGGCCATGTGGTACACCTCGGACAATGAGGCAGTCCTCGTGACATACGGAGCCCTCTACGGGTTTGTATCCGGTCCCTGCTTCTCTCTTATGCCTGTGGGTACCCTGCGTTCTTTCTCGCTCGCACCACGGAAGCTAACGTTCCTTCGTGAAGGCATGCGTCGCTCAAATCTCACCAATCGAGAAAGTCGGTGCACGCGTCGGGATCCTCTTTGGCTTTCTATCTACGGGTGCGCTCCTCGGTACACCCGTCGGTGGCGTCTTTATCAAAGACCAGACGAAACCAAACTTCCAACACCTTATCATTTACACGGTACGTGCTTTGTGGCTATTTATTCCCGCAGCTCCTCCGATTGACTCGTTGGCTAGGGAGTAATGGGTATCGCCGGAGCTTGCTTCCTCTTTGCTGCCAAGTTGAAATGCAATTCGCGATTGACTGCTATCGTCTAAGTTATTGAAAACGATCAAATGCCCCAAAAACCTAGATCATCCTCCATAGACATTGCAAGTGCTCTGCTGTCGTTTTGCATTCCGTACGCATATCTGTATTAGTACTGTATAATCACGGCCACGCAATAATTACGACAGGACTTTCTTAGATCGGTGCGTCCTTGGATAGCACCCACTCGCGTAGCGTTATGGTGTACGATACACAAGTCTTCGACATCGATTGTCGCCTGTACGTTATCTATGAACTACAGTGCCTTGCATAAGAAACTGAACATCGCATTTCCGCGCGCATTGTTTGTCCGCGCCAAATATACCCTTTTCGGGTATCGGCAAATGTGCGGCAAAGACCCATCGAGAGAGATGGTAACTAGGCATACAGCTGGGGGCAGAGTATAATGATTTACAGCCCTTAGTCTAGTTGTAGAATATACATTTCATGCATCCTCTGAAGCCTTTCGAGCCCTCTCGGGGCATCTGCGAGTCCCTGCCCAACAAATGGTCCCGCGAGAGGCCTTCCGGACCTACCCGAAAAGGGTATATTTGGCGCGGACAAACAACGCGCGCGGAAATGCGATGTTCAGTTTCTTATAGGCTCGTGACCACCCTGTCGTACCGCTATTGAGGGCAGAATATCGGTAGACAGGCTG